GATTTTTATTTTATTTTTCATATATGTATTTAACACTGATATAGGATGAATATTAAAGGAGTTTTATACTTTAGTTATCCTAATTTATCTGTAATATAGAGATTTCATAGGATTTAGGTCTTTTATTTATGTGGTATATGAACTTTTATTGAATTACTCATTGGAAATTATAACTGATGTCCAGGTACCACGAAATAAAATTTAGGATACATTAGTATAAATGTTTAATGTGGTTAGATATTTTAAGCAACACTAAATAGGTTTAACTTTATTACAAGTAACATTTATCGGAAAATTCAGTTTTTTTTGTAGGGGTTAACCCACAAATTCCAAAAAAAATTTAGAAATTATGGGATTTTTTTAATTTTTAATATATGCGTCCAACACTGATGTATGATGAGTATTAAAGGGGGTTTATACCTTAGTTTACCTAATTTCTCTAGAATATAGAGATTTCATAGGGTTTGGATCTTTTATTTATGTGGTATATGAAGTATTTTAAATTATTCGCTGAAAAATTATAACTGATGCCCAGGTACCACGAAAATAAATTTATGATTCATTAGAATAAATGTTTAATGTGGTTAGATATTTTAAAGAACACTAAGAGGTTAAACTTTATTACAAATAACATTTATCGGAAATTTTGATTTTTTCTTAGGGATTAACCCACATATTTCACAAAAAAATAGAAAATATGGAATTTTTTATTTGTCATATATGCATCCAACACTGATATATGATGAATATTAAAAGGGTTAATACCTTAGTTATCCTAATTTTTCTAGAATATAGAGATTTCATAGGGTTTAGGTCTTTTATTTATGTGGTATATAAATTTTTATTAAATTACTCATTGGAAAATTATAACTGATGCCCATGTACCACGAAAATAAATTTATGATATATTAGTATAAATGTTTAATGTGGTTAGATATTTTAAGCAACACTAAAGAGGTTAAAATTTATTACAAATAACATTTATCAGAAAATTTGATTTTTTCGTAGGGGTTAACCCACAGGTTTCAAAACAAATTAGAAAATATAGAATTTTTTAAATTTTTATATATGCATCCAACACTGATGTAGGATGAATATTAACGGGGTTTTATACCTTAGTTATCCTAAATTCTCTAGAATATAGTGATTTCATAGGGCTTAGTTCTTTTATTTTTGTAGTATATGAAGTTTTATTAAATTACTCATTGGAAAATTATAACTGATGCCCAGGTACCACGAAAATAAATTTAGAATACGTTATTATAAATGTTTAATGTGGTTAGATATTTTAAGTAACAATAAAAATGTTAAACTTTATTACAAATAACATTTATCGAAAAATTTGATTTTTTGTAGGGGCTAACCCACATATTTTAAAAAAAAAATTAGAAAATAGGGAATTTTTTTATTTTTCATATACGCATCCAACACTGATGTAGGATGAATATTAAAGGGGTTTTATACCTTTGTTATCATAATTTCTCTAGAATATAGAGATTTCTTAGGGTTTAGGCCTTTTATTTATGTGGTATATAAAGTTTTATTAACTTATTCATTGGAAAATTATAACTGATGTCCATGTACCACAAAAATAAATCATCATACTATGTTATTATCCATCTATTCATTAAAATAAATACATTTAAGGTATCAAAACTTTTTAATATTCATCATATATCAGTGCTAAATGCAGCTAGGAATAAATATAAAAAATTATATTTTCTAACTTTTTTTTGAAATCTGTGGATTAATTTATACGAAAAGATCAAGTTTTCCAAGAAAAACTATAAGTACTTAAGTTTAGTCTATTCGATGTTGTTTAAAATATTTTGAACCAAAGACTCATACCAGAAAGGGAACGAAGAAAATTTGATATTCTGAGATTACTAAAATTACAATCGAAAGGATAAGAACATAGGTTTTAAAGCAATGTATTTTTACTACTTATTTTATAACAAGAAAAAGGAGATAACGACCATTTTGATTAGGACCTCATCATATACAATAGTAGATCAATCTTTCTAATATTATTTGTGGTGTCAACACGATGCCACGGTTATGCGTTGTGTCGGCCATGCCAGTATATTTATAATTACATAAAATAGTATTAAAATAATAATAATGGTCATTTTTTCACAAAATGAGTGTTGCGACTTGCGAGTGTGTCAAGAAAGCAACTTTAGGAAGAAAGAACATATGCTATTAAGCTGACAAGCTGAAGACAGAGTAGAAGGATCTCAAAATATCGTGATTTTACAGCTTTCGTGCTTTTTTTTTTGCTCCCAAGATTATATATTCACTGTGACAGCTAAGATTTGGTGTCGCTAAAATAACTAATGGTTGATTGGTTTGCTTAATAACTTTTACGTAAGTTCTCTCTAGAAAAACGGAAATATGAAGAAGGCTAAACGAGTAAAAGATACGTCATATACGTCAAAAACACATACAATTTCTTGTTTGAGTTTTGGATAAGAATATTTAATTACCGGTTATTGAGACGCAACCGACCAATATGTTCATATATTCATACTAAATACAGTATCCAGCCAAGCATGCATGATGCATGTATCTGAGATCATTACCTCTCGCCTACCTCCACGGCGGAGATTGATCCATAATTAAACCTAATTAGACCAAAATGTCATATTCCAACTAGCATTATTGATTTAGCAAGTTACTTATACGTCAAAAAGTAGTACGTCGAACACGCTTATTAACTTTGTTACTTTTCGTGCACGGATATATATCCATGCCCACATCACCGTCAGTTTTAGAAATGATATCATTTTCCTCTATTTTGTTTTTGTTTTTGGGTGTAGATTGTCGAATATATAGATAAATCCGAGAAAATTAGTGTATATATACCATAGTCACATGAGACAGGGATTTGAAAAATATATTGTGACCCATTCCTAATATTTCAGGAAATTTTAATTTAGATACTAGATGTTTTGCCCGTATTTGCGGGCATAATTCTCGTATAAATATTTATTAGTTGATGTTTCATTAATTTAAAAATCAGCATAATAAATTATTATTTATATTTTCAAAAAATAAAAATCAAACATCAAATAATTATCAGTGACAAAACTAAAACGTCAGAAATAGTTAAAAGAATATATTTCTATAATTATTTTGCTTGATTTATATTTAATTATAATATTTGTACTTAATTTATATTTTATTATAGTTTTTATACCTTAATTTTAAAATTATAATAGAAAAAATATTTTTAAGATAACAATATAATGAATAAGTTATTTATTTTTAGTTATACAAAATTATAGAAATTATGACATATAAATGAGATTGCCTAAAATCATGGAGAACTTAATAAATCAACAAATTCACTTCTTAAATAATTTTCTTGAGTGATGATTTATATTTCATTAATAATAGATTATTTTCTATTTTACTTTTAAATTATATAATATAAACATATATTTTTAAGATAACAACATAATACATAAGAATTACTTTATATTCTAAAAGTATAATATTATTAGTGTAAATTTATGTCAACTATAGAATAAATACAACTTTGTATATTTTAACTGTATTTTCAAAACAACAACTTAATACATAAGAAGTATTTTTTTTGCTAAGAATCTAATACTATTAATACATTTTTTTAAAAAAAAATAGAATAAATTATCTATAAAATTTTAGAAATTATGATAAATTACCAAAATCACCTAAAATCATAAAAATATGACAAATCAGAAAATATCAAATTCACTTCTTAAATAATAGTATAGATTTTTTACATGTTAATTTTAAATTTATAATAGAAAATTATATTTTCAAGATAACAGCATAATACATAAGAATTAACTTATTTTCTAAAATATCATATTATTAATATAAATTAGTTTTAATTATATAATCAATAATAAACAAAATTAAAGAAATTCTGATAAATGATCAAAATTACCTAGGATCATGAAGACAAATCAACAAATTCACTTATCAAATAATTCTTTTGATGATTTATATTGAATTATTAATTATATAATTTTATTTCTTAATTTAAGTTTATAATAAGAAAATATATTTTCAACATAAAAACATAATACATAAGAATTGTCTTATTTAGAAAAATATAAAATTCTTAGTATAAATTCGTTTTAGTTTTATAATAAATAAATAATTTTTATATCTTAATTTAAAATTTAATTTTATATAGAAAATATATGTCAAGATAACAACATAATTCACAAGAATTATCTTATTTTCTAAAAATATGATATATTCATATAAATTCGTTTTATTTATAAATAAATTATATATAAATATTAAAAATATGATAATAAACAAAATTACCTAAAGTTATAGAGAACATGACAACTAAGCAAATTTACTTCTTAAATAATAGTATAGATAGATTAATGGATCTGATTTACTATTTTTATCATTTGGTTTTGACTCGAACATAGAGTAACACTACAGGTTATTATTATCCAAAACATAGACTGAAATGAAGTGTTATAAATTCTAGTCGCCCACGGTGCGTATATTACACATGGAATTTGTTGCCAAAGCATTATTTACAGAAATTAATACACACTTGTTGTTGTCAAGTTTGCTTAATTTGTTCTACTTCTCATTTGTTGGCCGCTAAAATTCATGGATTTTACGTTAACGATAATGAATGCTTATAACTTTATCGACATCTGCATTTCTCTGTAACAGTATCATCTTAACGAATGGATGGTAATGTTATTCTGCAAAATATATAATTAAGTACAACATAAATGAATGTCAACTAACGTTTCTGTACATTTAAAACTAACGTTTCTTTACATAAAAACCTTTTTAACGTCGGTTACAACATTACAAAAAGGGATCATAATGTTTGAAACTGATTGCTTACATGTATTGCTGCCGACATCACATTAACACGATTATGCGACGCGCAAAGAAAGGTAAGCACCACGTGGGTCATACATATCTCAAGAAGTTGGTCTATATAGTTTGAGATACATGAAGGTGAGAGTAAAGAAGAAAACACATAGCACATACAGACATACTTATTGAAGCTTTAACATTTTTTTTCACAGAAACTTCAAAAGAGCGTAAAAGAGAATGGGAACAGCTACGTTCATAGATATTCTTCTTGCTATCCTTTTGCCTCCTCTTGGTGTCTTTCTCAGATATGGTTGCGGGGTAATTACACTTTTTAATTTCCTTTGATCAACTCATATGTAGTTCTGTTTTCACATTTATATATCTTCACAAAAATAAAAATTTGGAACAATTTTATCTGTTGTTGCTAGGTTGAGTTTTGGATATGTTTAGTTTTGACGCTGCTTGGGTATCTTCCTGGGATCCTCTACGCCCTTTATGTCCTCACGAAATGATCATTTACATCCATCTATCCCTTTTTTTGTATCTTCATCTCCTTGTAAGTTTCTTTTCGAGCTTATATCTCTCCCTGGTCAAATATATCTCTCCTTGTATGTTACATTTCCATGGAAACGAGACTTAAGAAGTCATCTTTTAATTAATTGTATTAGTAAAAAAAATTATTGGGAAAATGAAGTATATGTTAGGTGGGAACCTACACTAAACTAAATTCTAAAAAGTAAAACATAACTATTATACGTATTATTCAGTTAATTAAGATAAAGATATTAACAGTACTAATAAAGATAAACATCTCTGGTTGTGATGTTTTGTGACATTGTGTAATTTTTTGACAATTTTTGTAACTTCACATCGTTGTTTTTTTTTGTAGGAACAGCTGGTTCGTCGTGTTTTAATCTTCTTGTGTGACTGATTCATCGTTTCTTTCACCAGGGTTTTATCGTTGTTGTGTTTGCATTGTTATATAATTTTTCTTAATCCTTCTTTTGTGTCAAGATCTTGTTTATCTGCTTTTTAATTAATATTTACTACTAGAAATTATGTTTGCCTTGGTTGGTCTCATAGGACAACCATGAGTTGATATTGTATAGTTTATCAATTTCAAATAATTACAAATCCTACCGCAATCAATAGTAACAATTTTTTTATATATATATATATGTTTATGTTTTTGTTGTTATTAAAACCTTACTCAAAAGCAGACATGTTGTACCATACCGGATCACGTGGCCCAACTAAAATTTAAGTTTCTTGAAATAATTAGTACTACAAAACATTGATTTATTCAGTGTAATTAGCTTAAAGTCAATGAAAGTGGTTCCTACTCTTTCCAAATTTTGTATAGTGTCTCTGACTCAAAGTATATATATGTATAACATATCATTATACTTAGGGTAAATTTTTATAGTGTCCCTGACTCAAAGTATATATTTTTCTTTGAGTCATTTTTTATAGTGACTTAGGGTAATTTTTATAGTAACATATCGTTATACTTAGGGTAAATTTTTTTCTTTCCTATTTTTTATAGTGTCTCCTACTTTGAGTCATTTTTTATAGTGACTCAAAGTATATATATGTATAACGAAAATTTTTCAAAGTATATTATATGTATATGTGATGATGATGACAATTGTTGACTGAAAAATAACATATCATTATACTTAGAAGAAAATCTATCTTTATCCAGAAAAAAAATATTCTCTTAGAGATGATGACTATAATTTTATCAAATTTCTTAACACATAAAACATGTTAGAAAATGCCAATGTTAAAAGTGGAAATATTTAAAAAGATTTTAACATATCATTTATTCAAAATGATGAGCAATTTAACAACCTGTCATACAGCATACTGCTCACAATAGATTCATAGGCATTTATGTTTCAGAAACAAAATCATAGCCCTTCTTTTTTTGACAAAAATAATATACCACTAGATTCAGAAACAAAATCCATCTTTGTCCTAAAGAAAACATTTTATATAGAAAATGATGAATAAATCTGATTTATTTTCTAACACATTATGTAGTATATTTAAAATGATTGTGTTAAGAAATTTAAATATACATTAGTTCTTCAAATGTAAGAAATCTATGAAATACATACATGCATTATAAATACTACATATATACATAACTTTGTATGTAGAATATCCTAAATTCACTAATTGTCTTCTATTATAACAATATTGTTTCATATTCTTATAAAATATACACTACAGAAAATTATGCAAATTAAAATTATAAACCTGACAAATGTTGGCCATTGAGTTATTGCAACAAACTTGCATTTTTATAATTCAAATACCATGTTACATTGTTTGTTGTTAATATCCATTAAACTATAATTATATTTATAGTGAGAGGTTTGAACTAAAACTTTCGAACAAAATTCAAAACATTCATAATGCTCTATGATACGTAAATCATGTCGACTGTTATTTATTACTTCAAATTATATATCTACGAATGATGTTACACTAATACTAATTTTTTTGTTCAAAAAGAAGTATTAAAAGTTCTGTTCAAAAATGAAATACTAAAAGGTCAAATGTGTAAATACATTATTTGTGTCTGGAAATTAATTAAACATAATTTCACTTTTCCGTTCTTTATCAAACAACAATCACAAATTATAGACACAACATACATGCAATCAAAATAATAATAAACATAAATATTATAACCGTTAATACATTAATTTTGACTCATATGTATACATTAAAATAAAATTTCTAGAGTCCATATTCAAACATGACAATTAAAAACAGATATATGTAGATATATATGTATATATATATATATACAAAAACTAAACCAGATACTAATAAATTGTTAAATAATCAATATAATTTCTATTATGCTTTAAAATAAATAAAAATTGAGCATAAAATCAATTATAAAAATTTTGATAGAAAATAATTGCTTAAATAATTAATGTTTTTTGTTAATTAAATCAAATCGCTCAATATGTTTCTAAAATAAATTGATTAAAGGAACCTTGTTGTATTTTTACTTTTGAAGTTGTGTTAATGTTAAATATTATAAATTTCATCAAATTCTTAATAAAAACTGTTTAAATATAAATTAGTCTAATATTATATTACTATAAAATAAATATAATTATATTTCTGTAACGTAAATCAGATTCATTGCTTGACTACGTAAAAATAGTAAAATATATTAATTACCTAAATTTTAATATTTAATATAGAACTATATCGGTAGATAAAAATATTAACACGTTTCATCATTTTATAACAATAACATTATATATAATGGTTCCTTTAGAACTCTACATTACGATAAAAATTCAAAGAAAAACATAACTGATTATCATCGTCAAGATCCACCGAAAGGTAAAGCTTATTTCTATTATATTTTCAAAAAACAATTATCTAAGATTTTGAAAAAAATAAAATTTTGTTCCATAGTTAACTTTCACTTAATTTTCTTGATGATAATGTTCTTTTTTTAAAAAGTTTTTAGAAGTCATTGAAATAACATCTCTACAAATCAAGAATATGTATAACAAGTATAAAACTTTTGGATCTCATTTTTTTTTCTAACACCAACCTGTTGGCTTGCTTTTAAAAACAGATGACTTGGTTAATTTTCATAATTATTTATGATTTTTATTAATTACATGAATCTATATAATTTTGTTTTGAAAAAAGCTGTTATGAACACTATCGCAGTTTTGTTTTGAAATATTTTAATATATTTAATTTATTTTAATTGCATATTTGATTTGACTGTTTTTACAAAATAACTACAAAAGTTGAATGTTATCCGCTTGTTCGAATATTTGTCTCTAAAAGTCACTAATTTAGCCATTTTTAATATAATTATTTTATATTTAGTTTTTCAGTTTATAATAAACAGGAATAGTGTTCTCATTATTTACAGAGCTATAACTGAAATAGTTAAATTGTATAGTTACTTTTGGAGTATTTACATCAAACCAGATGCATTTATTTTAATCATATTTTCTAACAATTAGTTATAGTTAGGCATGCCATATATTTTCATCACTGCAAAACTTGCATAAAGACTGTAAAATTTGTGCTGTAATCTCGTATTCAAGATAAATATTTTCCTCTAAATTTTATGTTACAGATGCAGCTTCTAGATTTGGTCCAACTCATGAACAGATACATGTTTTATGTATTGAATTTGATACTAAGAAATGCAATGTAATAAAATCTTATACAAATTATTTTTACTATTAAATTATTTTTTTCTTTAGAAAACAAATTAGTAAAATAGTTATATTTTTTATTTTTTTATTTTTTTTTGCTGACAAAAAGATAAATATTTTACTAATTTCTTCTTTTTTTCTAAAGAAGAAAATAATTTAATAGTAAAAATAAATTGTATAAGATTTTATTGCATTGCATTTCTTAGTATTAATACATAAAACATGTATATGTTCATGAGTTGGACCAAATCTTGAAGCTGCATCTGTAACATAAAATTTAGAGGAAAAATATTGGTGAATCTTGAATTATTTAACAAAAGATTTTACTTCTATTCGTGAAGCAGATTCTTGATTTGATCAAATCTATTAATAGATACTGGCATTTATGTATTGTTCATAGCAAATACAATGAAATAAAATCCATCCAGATATTCTACCTTTTGGAAAAATAGAACTATTTAGAGAATTATAATAATATCAAAAATTGTTAGAACCTGGATTTTTTTTAAAGTAAGAAGTGTATATGTATTTGAAAAAAAAAAGAAAGAAATGTATATATATTTATATAGTTCTCTATTTGAATTCTGATTAAATTTACAAAAAAATATTGGAAAACCAAATCTTGGAAATTGCCCCAAATATTTGCTATGAATTGTTTAAAAAAAAACATAACATTTTTACAAATACATTTTATATGACCAAAAATAAAAATAAAATATTAGGAAAAAATTAGGAAAAATTAAAAAAAAGTTTATATGACCTTGTTGCATAAGTGAATAAGATAATAAAAACAAATAAATTAATTCTATTAATTATAACTAGTAAAACAAAGAAAAATATTGATATATTTTACTAGTCATAAATCTAAAAGAATAATCCCTATTTTAAAAATACAAATTTTTCATACCCCTCCCTCCCTCCATCACTATATAAGACACACACATCCCTGAACTCAAACACACAACACAACACAACTTAAACAAAGTAACAACACACAACAAACACCATGGCAAGGAAAAAGGTGAAACTTGTTAGGATTGTCAAAGAATCCGCGAGAAAAGCAACCTACAATAAAAGGAAGAAGGGTTTGCTTAAAAAAGTGCAAGAGATATCCACTTTATGTGGCATCAATGCTGGGGTTATCATTTACAGTCCCTTCAGTCCTAACCCTGAGGTGTGGCCCCCTGGTGATGGTATCCGCGAAGTGATTACTCAGTTCCGGAATGTGCCGAAAACCGAGCGGGACAAGAATACGTTCGACCAACAGAAGTTCCTCAAACAGAGGCTAGCTAAAGTCGAAGCCCTTCTGACGAAGCAGAGGAAGGAAAACAAGGAGGCTTACTTGACGGAATTCATGTTTCAATGTTTGGTTGAGAACAAGAGAGTGGCTGAAATCGACTCCCAGTATCTTAACGATCTAGGATGTATTATTGATCAGTTTGATAATAGTATTGATCGCAGGATTGAGATTTTAGGAGGCTCAGCTGATATGGAGATGGGTGAACCTTCCAATGCTGATGCGGCTACTGATCCTTCAGAGCCGGTTGGAACATTGAATCTTGGGGAAGGTGCAACCGCTCCAGCTGCTGCTGGTGCATCTTTCTTTAATCAAGTGCCCCATTATCCTCCGTATCACCAGCAGTTTCATCAACCATATAATGCTCCATATACTGGACTCTATGAGCAATCTGGTAACCAGAACCAGTATATGGATATGATGAACCGTCCTGAGCACATGCGTTATGCTCCTAACCAAATGGGGTATCCATTTATGGGCTATCCCCATCAGGCTCATCCCTACCACCATTACCAGCCTCAGCAGCATCAGTTCTTCCCAGGGGAATCATCCAATGCTCAGCAGCATCAGTTCTTCCCAGGGGAATCCTCAAATGCTCAGCAGCATCAGTTGTTCCCAGGGGAATCATCCACTGCTCCCCCACCCGCCACCTCAGGCAGTGTCACACCTGCGACAACTCCAAACCCTACCAATAATTTTGGGTTTCCTTAAGATTTGGAGAGACGACGTTCACATTCCGATAAGACGACAAAGCTATGATTACTCTCATGTGTTTTCTTTGTGTTGCCGTTTTATTTGATGTCAAACGTTACGGATTTGAATTTTTCTTTTTTTTTGTTGTTGTTGTTCTAACATTTGTTGTTGTTGTTGTTGTACACAGATATATTTATGTATCATCTTTTTAATTCAATGAAATTTATATTTTCTCTAGTAAATCTCTTTTTATATTGTACTTGAAGAATTGCTAATTACATTTTCAAAAGTCGTTTATTTAATCACTGAACAGTCTTAATCTATATAGTCATTTTAAGGATTGTTCAAGGTGGCTGAGCTATTGCATCAAATTGCTATCATGGATCATTTCTCGAAATTAGAGTATGGTTCTCTAATGTCTGATCTAATAGTTTGGTAGACACCATTATCAACTAGGTTTTGGACCATCCGTATGCATTTTAACCAATACAATATTAACAAATTTTTTATAATAAAAATATAGGAAAAGAAAAGAAAAAATACAGAAAAAATATCATAAAATATGAAATTTTGATAAGTAAAAAAACATCATGAAAAAAATATGATGTAAAACAGTTTAAACAAAATAAATACAGAATTTTTTTATTAATGAGTTAATTACTGTAATAATAAAGATAAATATATTTGGTTAACTATTTGAATAAAGTAAAAAGTAAATGTTGGGACACCTAAGATTTCTCATGTGAGAAAAGATCTGGGACATAGCTTAATTTGAAGGCATTGATCACTTCTCTTCGCCAATGGTAGCAATATTATTTTATCCTTTGACAAATGTTTTGAATTATTTTAACTTTGATTTGAATACAAATACGAGCTTCCTGGTAAATAGTAAACTTTATACAAGCTTCAGTGAGCTAGTGATAAGTAGGTGTTGCTCTACTGATCCAAAGATAAGAGCAATCTCATTTGTGAGATTTTTAATTTGGGGTTCTCATCTTCAAAAAATAATATTTTAGGATTACATCATTAAAAAGTTAAATTCAAATTATGTAGAAACTATTAGTTTAATTATAAGCTAACAGATGGTATTGTGTGGGATACTGTCTTAGATATTACTTTTAGTATCATATTATAAGATGATTAAATTCTCTCACAATTTCTTTTAATTTTAATTTTACTTTTCTTAAAGAGTGGAATATTCTCTTGACATGTTTTAATTTTGTAGATTATCAGATACGGTCCTATAATTTATTTTATGGGCGTGATGATACTTCTTCGGTTTTACAATATGATGTTTTTTTTTGATGGACAAAGATTAAAAAATTTTAAGTTCTTCTAATAAATATTTGAAAGATAGAATTTAAAATTCATTTAATCGATTATAGAAAACCGTTAAATATAATTAGATATGTATTTTTCAATAAATTTTAAATCAACATAAAATATCCAAACATCAAATCAAATCTTTCGAGACAATAAAAACTTTCTAAAACATAACAAATTAGGAAATAGATGGAGGAATGTATTTATCGATAACCCATTTTTTCTTTATAATTAATTAAATGGTACGACAAATCAAATAAGCCTTTTTTGTCAAAGCCTTTTATGTAAAATGTTGTTTTTAGAATAAAAAAATAAATGGCTGTTAAATTTTGATATACTAGATGACAACCGGTAAAACCCATTAAACACCTGAATAAAATTTATTATTCTGATAATGTTTTAATTAAGAAGATAACATGTATGATAGATATGTTTTCTTAAAATAGTCATTTAATCCTAGAGGCTAGAAATAGGCAAGTGATTTGAGTGAATGTATATCACTAAGGTGAGTCACTTTCCAGCTAAGGTGATGAATATCTATAACTTTCGTACTTGTTGATTAAGTTACCAGCAATCACCAGCTTTAATTACAACTAGATTTTAATCTATGCACCCACACGAGTATTTACTTTACCTTTTATATAAATATATATTTGTTGTAAGAAGATAATTTATATTATTATTTTGTACTAATTTTTATTTTATTTTTCTTATAAATATAATATAATATTTCATTTTTAAATATATTGTTATTTACTTTTCATCACTATTATATATTATATATGTGTCATCAAATAATTAATCGTATTTCATATATATTAGAATATAAGTAATTATATAATAAATATTTTATATGTATCATCATGTAAATAATCATATATATTATATGTAATTACAATGTATCTTCATAAGATAAAATAGTTATTATTTTTACTGATATCAAATTACACTATAACGCCATTAAGATGGATGGTATCCGAATTACAAAGTGTTCTTATAACCTTAGTAATCAAAAAGTATTACTAGCCTCTTTATGTTATTGGAAAAATTTCAATTATACCACTTTGGTAGTACCACTTTTTATGTTTACCATCAACAAAGGAACATTTTCAAAAATACACATTTTATTAAAGGATAAAAGATTCTTATATTCTTGTTCTTTATATATATATATATATAATAAATATTAAATAAAATATTAACCCTAAACCCTAAAATATCAATTCTAAACCTTAAACCCTAAACTCTAAACTCTAAATAGTAAACCCTAAACTTTAAAAAATCAACACTAAACCTTAAACTATCAGTCCTCAACCCTAAATTCTAATAGTATTTTGAGTATTAAAATTTTAATGGTAAAGTTGGTTAGTGTAAAATTGAAAAGTGGTATCTTGAAAGTGTTATTTCTGGCAATTTTCCTATGTTATTTGAGAAATAATCTCACTGCGAGAATTTTCATGTAATTAATAGTAATAATTCATATAATTCATATATATTTTTCAATAACATTTTCTTATTTATTTTATGTTATCGTTTTAGGCACAAAATCTGCGGACTGGATGTCAAAACACTGATTTTTTAACCATTCGCAACTATATAAACAGACTCCTGACAAGAGGTAACATATAGACAAAAAGTACAAAACATAATACACACAAAAACATTGTCGTGGTTCATCACTATGACGAGGAATAAGCTAAACCTATCTTACATCACCAATGAGACGATAAGAAAATCAACATTCATCAAGAGGAAGAAAGGTTTTTTCAAGAAAATCCACGAGCTCTCCGTTCTCTGCGGAATCCAAGCATGTGCTATTATCCACAGTCCGTTCAGCTCAACCCCGGACGTGTGGCCATCGAACTCGGAAGCGAAGAACGTAGTGGAGAGGTTCGAGGCGATTCCCGAGAGCGAACAAGAGAAGAAAATGGTGAACCATGAAAAGTTTCTCGAACAATGCATCACAAAAATCAAAGAGAAAATCATCAAGAAGATAAAGGATAATAAGGAGAGGGTCATGCAGGAGACCGTGTACCAATTTCTTAGAGAGAAAGGGAACATGTTTCAGCTGACTGACAAGCATCGTGACGATTTGTGTAGGTTTATTGATCAACAACTTAAGGAGCTACATTACCATAGGAATCAACTCCTAAATCAACCCCATGTTGAATATGGGGAATCTTCTGCAGCTGCTAATGCCATGACACAACCAGAAGCTGTAGCTGAAGAGGGTTTCTTCTCTTTCCTAAATCCTGTTGCTTTCAACACTGCTCCAAATCCCATAATCTCTCCGATTCAGAATCTACAACCGTTTGATGCTTTTGAAACTAACTATCCTCCTGCTGGCAGTGACCAACCAGGTTATCATCACCAAATGATGAGTCAGGTAGGTGGTAATTATCATTTGCATCAAAGTTTAAATTTAGATCTTAATCCTAATCAGTATCATCATCAGTTTGAAGGATACCCAAATGTAGCTCAAGATGGAAATTACAATCAGACTCAAAATCAGAATCATCAACAGGAAGAATGGTTGGTTAATCAGAGGATGATGAACAATCCTAACCAAGTGCATTTTCCTATGATGGATGACAACAACAACAACAACCAGCTCTAAAACATCTCTATTAAAGACATTTGTTGTGGTGTATGTTGATTCTGAACACAAGTCTTTGGTTTGATATGTATTGTCTTATCATGTCATGGTTAAAATTCCCTATTTAATTAATGCATGTTTTATCATTTAATGGTCGTTTTATATTTGTACACACTTATTAAGAAATATTTAAATTTGAATATTTTCTAAATAAAATCCGCTTTAATTATACATCTAACCATAATCGGCATTTATTTAATAATGAAAATTTTACTATATAACGATAATTAATATGAAACGGAGAGAGTGTCATGTTTATTTTGGTTTGAGGAGATTATGATTCTCTCTCTTTCATGTTTTAGGATCTAACTTTGACAAAATGTCCTTTTGTGTTGCAGTTTTTATATAAAAGTTTCAGTTTCATCCTTACTATATATTTTTAAAATTACTAAAGACGACATTTTATTATAAAAGGGTAAAACAAATATATGATGCATATTTGGTATAAATATATATATATATATATATATATATATATGTGTGTGTGTGTGTGTGTGTAAATTTAAAGCTTGAGCATTTGTTTTACAATCGACCCATGTGGATTTTGTTTGTCATGAAAAGGTCAGTTTATGTTTTATTTTGATTTTGTTCCTTGTAATTTTGTTGGGTGTGAATCGATCATTGGGTTGAACAAATAGAAGAGTGGAGATGCATGATGGGTGCAGATAGATGGTACGCATTGATCTCAAATTACTCAGCCAATAGAGACCGATGAGTAGTTGCCATTAAAGAGTCTTCTTCCAAAGATTCCACATAGTAGTACTCAATGACCTTTTCATGATTCTCACTTTATTTTGTATTTTGTCGGCAATTTGAGCTATAAGTAACTCTCTTTTTGTAAATAAATGTTGTGCACACTTATCATTTTGTTCTCTCTTCGAAAATTGTGAATCAATCTTACGTACGAATATGAATTAATCATTCATCATGCGTCAAGCAAGTGTTAAGCTGCGGTGTTACTTATACCTTTTTCTACTTTGTATTGTGAATAATTTTTTTGCTTTTGTGGTGATCGGATCTTGTAGACTGATACACACACAAATCATGAGTTTTATGGCACTACTACGAGATCACTAGACTTGTAATCATTTAATAAAAATAAAGAGAATATTTTGGTTTATAATTGGCAGTAAAAGTGAAGAGTGTATGTACGTAGCAAAGGCTCAAAGCGAAGCAAAAGACAAGAAGAGGAATCAAAGTACGCTTAAAATGTACCTTTTGTACAAAAAGACTAGAGCATTATGTGAGGGGAAGACCCAAGCAGGAACCTCCCGTCCATGCAAATAATAGCAATCATATAAAGTTATTGATTCTACAGCTGGCTTCAAAACCTATACTTTTTGGTTATTTTATCATAAATTGATCTTACCATATGATCGATCTTCTCTGCTAAAACATTAATATAATCAATAAATACTCATACTTGTAAACAATATTTAGTTATGAATCCCAAAATTCATGGCTTTCATAATTGATCTAAATTACATATCTACAAGGACTTATACTTCGTGTGCGTCTGTGAGATTCATAAGAAGCTAACACCGAGCCTCATCAAACCTTGTTTCCATTTCATATATCATTTTTGTAAATTTTGGATTTTATAGAAAAGCTTTAATTATTAATTATTACTCTTAAAGTTAACCAATATTTGTTGTTTATGTAAATTTAATACTCCATCTGTTTTATGAAGAGTGTCACTTTTATATGACTGCATAACTTTTTTAACAGCATTTAAATTCATTCATTCAAATTGTACATTGGCACATATGATTGCATGAGTCACTAGACAAACAAGAATTATACAAAGTCGAATCTAGTTATTTTGTAATCGTTTACTAACCAACACAACCAAAACATATTCCATATGATTGAAGTCATTTAACTAGCTAGATATGAAAGCAACAATGAAAAATAATGAGAAGCTAGACGAAGAAAATTGTAAAGAAAGATGATTATCAACTACAAGCAAGACACAACCAATACACTCTCATAAAATACTTCAAATAAATTAAAAAAAAAAAACACTTTACATAGAATCAAATCAGCCCTTGATCATCACAATCATCAGCATCATTCATCATCATGCCTTCTCGGATTGCTAAGAAGAGAGAGATTGGCGCTGGGACGCAGAGACACGAGTGGCATGAAACTTGGCAATAAAGGCAGACGCTTTGCGGTCAATACCTGGTTCAGCCACCCAGTAACGTTTGTCTTCATCACTAGCCATTGCCTTGCGAGTGTAAACGACGTCGTCCCAAGAAGCGTCTACTTCCACTCTTTGAGATCGTCGTGTTTTAAAGAAGCTGAAGAGACTGTGTGACATGTTTCCTCCCATTAGTATGTGTTCTTGAATTTGTCTTGAACGAGTCAAGAACAAGAAGAGACACGAAAGACAAGAGAGAGGTTTTTGATTAGATGTTTTTTTTTAATGTGTTGGTGTGTTAAGTGAAGATGTGGCTTTGCGCATGTATTTATAAGGAATATGGCTCACCAAAATATTAACGAGTGAACCAATAATATAATAGTTTAACCGGTCATCCAGAAATGTTCGATATTAGTAGTACGTATTCAACTGAGACTAAGCTAGTTGTATTATATCTTAACTTTGTTTGTCGCATGCAGCAACCACAACTCTAGTTCTGAGTTTTTTCTCCAATTGTTTTAGTAGAGAAATCGAAGAATTTTCATTCCTTATAGTTTTTTTTTTGAAAAATTGGACGCTTGTTTTCCAAAAATGTTAAGAGGTTTAAATAAAACAAATTGTCATTAGCAAGACCGGTCTGGAGTTTTGGAGACTATAGACTATTTAGTAAAGGTGTTAGTTAAAAAAAAAAATGTTTTTACAGATTTGAAGACTTTTTTTTTTATAAATTTCGAGGTCTATGACAAAATAAAAATTTTCAAAAATTCTTGAAGCCATAGACAATTTTTTATCAGGTTTGGCTCAGGATCAGCCTTGGCCATTGATATTTTCTTTCATGTGTTTTAATTCTAGTGAGTGATATGAAATTTTAAAAATATATAAAAACGGTTTGGTTCGCTTTGGACTTGGCGTAGCATGCATCTTTTGCTCAAAAGTATATCAAGAACCTAGAAATTTCTAAATATTTTTATTACAAAATCTCCCTCAGTCGTTTGCATTGTTTGGAACCCAATATCATCAATTCAAGAAACGATGTTAAATTTTCAAAAGTATATTTGTTCAAGTATTATGATTCAGGAATGTCGAGAACGGTAATACCAATCATATGGTTGTGGAAATTTCGTAAAATATTATATGTATTAATGTGTTGGAATGAATTGACCCCAAAAACAAAGCATTGGTTAGGCATCCAAGTTCTCTGTACATGTTTGTTTGGTCTTTTCTCTCATACTTCCTTCAACGTATTTTTTTTCTTTTATAGTATTCTTTTTCTAGAACCAAATAAGAATTTTCTTCTTTTTTTTTGTTTTTTATCATCAAACTCAAACATACCCTCACTTTGTTCTCCTTGTCTTTCCCCACCAATCTTAGCAAACACTTGCCTAACTAAGGCCACTTTCATTTTTCCAAAACACTTTTTTTTTTATTTTACTCGTACTCATATACGTTAGGATTATGAGCAATCATACACGTAAGGAAGATAATTCTTTTTTTAGAAAGATAATTCTCACTTGAACCCTAACGTTTTTAAGATAATTATCCACCACGTCAATTATTTATTCAGATATTTGGATCTCGTATATTTTAAATTGTTTTATTCATATATAGGTAATTAAACTAAACCATTGTGAATGCGTCCGAATTTCACAATGACCAACCATAAGAAGTACAATACATTTATCGAGTATGGATTAAATGATAAATTTGGTAGGTCAAGTATGGTCAGCATCAAGTATGTCAATCATGTAACTTGTAACTTGAATGTTTCTAACTCTTGTAGCATTGTATATATTAATTTCTATCCAAACTGCAGATTAGCAATTTCTATGCGTACTATGCATGACTTTTCTATAGTATTGTGGAAATTAAAGTTAGGTTTGTGCTTTGTATTAATTAATATTAAACTGAACGTAAGTGGGGGGAACTAATTAATAATCGGTTTCACATTAGCATAGAGGTTTACCATAGTAATTGCATATCCATTAGGCGAAGATGAAATACTATATGGATATAAAAAGTATACAATTTGGTAGGAATGCAGTATTACTATTATTATATAAATTTATACAAACCAAAATTGGGGAGGAGAAAAGAGCATACAGTCAAAAGAGAAGTGAAAAGAATCTATTGGAGAATAAAATGACTCAATATTTTAATAAGACAATTAGAGTTTTTCGTGCTTATTTGTGGAATATATATATATATCCAACAACTACAAGCTACTTATATACTCACTAATTAATATCTATTTGGTCACTTTACGTGAGAAAATATCCTAATCTTTTTTTCGTGATCTTTTTCACCTATAAACTGCAATTACCTAGCTGTAGACGAAGCTAAGTAATTCACCTCCATCAGATGGGTTGTAATAACTTGAAGTTAATTAAAACGGATAATGGTAGGTTGTCTACTGGTCTCTAATTTTGTAATGGGAATATAAGATGGGTTGTAACTTGATTTTGTCTAGCAATAAAAAAGAGACTATATCCTTCATTTCTTGTAGTAAAACTAAATCATACTCCCTTAGATAGGGCAAAAAAAAAAATGCATGACGTTAGTCTCAAATAGTCAAATGATGACTACATTGTTATGTAGATGATTACTGGCTACTGCTGCATGTTGATGTTGGTGATAAGTAATAAAACAACTCAAATCATAAACACGTGAATAACAATGTAGTTGAGTGTAGAATTTTATAAATCAGTTGGCTATATATCGTTTGAGTATATCTTCTGATCACAAAAAAACATCTAAATTCGTTTAACTATGTTATGTTCGAGAGTTAAAATTCTCCACTCAACAATTCATTTTTCATCACGTGAACCAAATTAATCAATCAGAAGACGTACTCAAACGATAGCCAACAGATTGATAAAGCTCTAAGAGCATCTCCAAAAAGACTCTCTATTATAGAGTTTGTAAAACTCTAAATTTGAAGTTTGAATGTGTTATACTCCAAAAGCAAAACTTCAAACCTAACTTTAAAACTATTTGTATTTTATATAATGGTCCTTATATTTGTCATAAATAATTCAAATTCATAAATTTTTATAAATAACTATCATGTATAAAAATATTATAGAAATATCATTTGATAAAATGTTACACTAAAATATAAAACTATAAATAGAAATATATAATTAATTATTAAAGTACAAACAAAATACCACATTATATCACGTAATATTGTTGTTGTCTACTTCTAGTTTTAAAATATTTTAAAGATTATCTTGATGCTTTTTTTTAAATAGAAAATTTAAATTTATAAAAATAATTTTGAACTATTTATAAAATAATAATTTTAAAGATTAAAATGCTAAATAATAAATATTTAAGATTATTATAAATATGATGTGTAATTGTAAGGACCAAAGTATAAATAAAATATGAAACTTCAAATTTGAAGTTTTGAATAGTGACACTCTATATTTGAAGTTTCACTACTCAAAACTTCAAATTTGAAGTTTTAGAGTTCCTTTTTGGAGAGACAAAAACTTCATATTTGAAGTTATAGAGTGTCTTTTGGAGATACTCTAATATACTGATTTAGTTTACGATTATATATTAACATTAATTAGCTGTAATCAATTACGATAATTATTAGTAATGTATTTGTTTTAAACGAAACGAATCCATAGCATAATTGTACACCCAAAAAAATAATAAAACACAAATCTTATATTCCATAACATAATTTGCTTTTCGACAAAATCGTAAACAATTCGGTTTACGTTGTTGCATATACACGTTACTAGCTTTAGACGGCACGGTGTTTCGAATATATCAAACCATCCGGCACACTGTTTACCGTAAGAGGCAGTCTACAGAAACGACGTGTAGTTTATATTATAAAGGAAGAAACAACAACAAGCGCATGGATGGATGGTGATTGCTAACCGAGAAGGTTTGTAACCGCACAGACTCTCTCCCTCTCTCTCTTCTTCCTCGTGAAATCGATCATAATAACTTCAATTTCAGATTAGGGTTTCGTGCGTTCTCCGCAATTCCGAGGTAATTCAATCTCCTTTTTTTCTGAATTTTAGGGTTCATGCAGCCCAATTTTGAAATTCCGACATGATTGTTGTCTCGAGGAGAGGTTGTCGCATAACGATTGGGTGTTGTGGAATTCGAATTGGACCATAAAGTTGAAACCTTTTCGTCTCTTTATCCTCTGAATCTCTCTGTTTCTGTATTGAATCGAAATGTTCTGTTATTGCCTCTGTTTCCATGAGTAGTTGGGTTCATGTTTTTAGAGCTAAATGCTTTGTTTTGGTTCGGTTAGAATCTGAAAGTTTTAAGCTTTTTGATCTGAATGTGTCTTCATCATTGAAATGACACTGCTCTGCTTTTGATTCACTTGCTGTAGTAATAGTTTCTAATTGATTGTGTGAATAATATTCCTGTTACAGCTTTAAATCAGACATTGAGAGGCTTTCGATTATGTTTAGGTGTTTCAGAGTTTGATTTTTTAAGCTTGAGAGCTTAGATTGTCACATCCAATAGATTTGGTATTTTGGTCTGAATGTGCCTTCATCATTGAGATAACATTGTTTTTGCATTTACTTGGTGCAGTGATAGTTTCTAAGTGATTGTGCTGTTGATATCTTCTATTGTATCCATATTCCTGTGATAGGTTTAAATCAGAAATTGAGAGCTTAGACTGCTTGATTTCGCTTATCTTAGGTGTTAAAGAGTTTAATTTCTTAAGCTTGAGGGTTAGTAAAGGAACCATGCAATTGCATTGAGTTTAGACTAAGACAATTTGTGTCTTCCTTGTTTGTTGCAGGACATGTCAGGGAAAGGGGTCATAGCAATATGTATGTCTGGTGGAGAGTTTCTAACAGAGAAAAACGGAGCACTAACTTACAAAGGAGGCGATGCTCACGCAATAGACGTGGATGAGCAGATGAAATTCAAAGACTTTATCTCAGAGATAGGAGAGATGTTTAACTGCGACGCTAGAACAGTTTCTCTCAAGTACTTCCTCCCGGATAACAAGAAGACGCTCATCTCCATCTCTAACGATAAAGATTTGAAACGCATGATCAAGTTCCACGAGAACTCAAACTCAGCCGATGTTTATCTTATACCAGAAGAGCCTGCTCCAGACATTTCTAACATGCCTGCTAGCAGGTAAACAAAGCGTTGTTGCATTAATCATCATCATCATCACCATAGTTAAGAGTTTCTTTTTGTTCTTACAGATCTAGCAGAACTACATTGTCTGAAGCGATTCCTCAAGTTCCTCTAGAGGACATGATAGATGACATAACAGGAACAGAAGATCTCCCCCTCTCAATCTCAGTTTCAGCTCCTCCCATTGTGACCATGGAGCAAGTCGAGAACCGACCTGAAGATACACAGATTGTCATTACTCCACCTGACATAATGTCAGCGATTCTCGAAGTCCCGAATCCGAAAGGAGACATTCTGACAAAGGCGAGAACACAGCAATGGCAGAACACAATCACAGGCGTTGGACAGAGGTTCAAAAACGTCAGCGAGTTTCGTGAAGCACTGCGTAAATACGCCATTGCGAACCAGTTTGGATTCCGTTACAAGAAGAACGATAGCCACCGAGTGACGGTTAAATGTAAAGCAGAAGGTTGTCCCTGGAGGATCCATGCTTCGAGGCTATCCACCACTCAGCTTATCTGTATCAAGAAAATGACTCCTTCACATACTTGTGAAGGTGCAGGTGGCATCAACGGTCTTCAGACGAGTAGGAGCTGGGTTGCTAGCATTATAAAGGAGAAGCTGAAAGTGTTTCCTAACTATAAACCCAAAGATATCGTCAGCGACATCAAGGAAGAGTATGGGATTCAGCTTAACTACTTTCAAGCTTGGCGTGGGAAAGAGATAGCGAGAGAACAGCTTCAAGGATCATACAAGGATGGTTACAAGCAGCTTCCCTTGTTCTGTGAGAAGATCATGGAAACGAATCCAGGCAGTCTAGCTACGTTCACCACCAAGGAAGATTCAAGTTTTCACCGTGTTTTTGTTTCGTTTCACGCCTCTGTTTATGGTTTCCTAGAGGCATGTAGACCGTTAGTGTTTCTTGATAGTATGCCGTTGAAGTCAAAGTACCAGGGAACTTTGTTAGCTGCAACTTCTGTTGATGGGGACGATGAAGTGTTTCCTCTGGCTTTCGCAGTTGTTGATGCCGAGACGGAAGATAACTGGGAATGGTTCTTGCTTCAGCTGAGGTCTGCTCTCGGCACGGATCAACAGAAGGATCTGCAGGTTTCTAGCCCCATCACATTCGTTGCAGATAGACAGAAGAGTCTGCATGAACTGATCCCAAAAGTGTTTGTTAACTCCTTTCACGCGTACTGCTTAAGATACTTGACTGACGAGCTCATCAGAGACTTGAAAGGACCGTTCTCACACGAGATCAAGCGGTTAATCGTCGAAGACTTTTACTCTGCAGCATATGCACCAAGACCTGATTCATTCGAGAGACATGTAGAGAACATCAAAGGCCTCTCGATGGATGCTTACACCTGGATCGTGCAAAATAGCCAGCCAGATCACTGGGCCAACGCTTACTTCCCCGGTTCTCGGTACAACCACATGACTTCAAACTCAGGTGAACCGTTCTTCAGCTGGGCTTCTGACGCCAACGACCTACCAATAACTCAAATGGTTGATGTGATCCGCGGGAAAATCATGGGGTTGATACACGTGAGAAGGATTAATGCAGCTGAGGCTAATGGAAGATTGACTCCTTCCATGGAAGTTAAGCTAGAAAAAGAGTGCTTAAAAGCGCAAAGCCTTCATGTAGCGTCATCTGCGGATAACAACTTGTTTCAGGTTCGTGGAGACACTTATGAGCTTGTGAACGTGGCTCAGTGGGACTGTAGCTGCAAAGGTTGGCAGTTAACGGGCTTACCGTGTCACCATGCGGTTGCGGTTATCAGCTGTATTGGACGTAGCCCTTACGAGTTATGTTCTAGATATTTCAGTGTTGAGAGTTATAGGATGACTTACTCCATGTCGATAAACCCTGTTCCTCTTTTGGAAGGAGGAGAGATGTGTAGAGAGAGCTCAGGGGGGTCTGCGGTGACTGTAACACCACCACCTACACGGAGACCACCGGGGAGGCCGCCAAAGAAGAAAACACCTGCGGAAGAGGTGATGAAGAGGCAGCTGCAATGTAGCAGGTGCAAGGGACTTGGTCACAACAAGTCAACTTGTAAAGAATATCTTCTTGAATGTTAGTTTTCTGGATTGGTTCATTATGTTTTGTTTTAATTAACTTTCATCAACTTTTTAAGATCAATCTGTAAGAAAGGAGGATTGATTTTTCTTTTACGTTAAACACTTTTGTATCTTAGTTTCGTTCAATAAAAGTTCTTGCTAAAGTTTTCATTTGTGAGCATGTCTAAATGATAAGGTTAGTCTTAGAGAAACACACAGCAAATAGCAATGGATTTGGTTGTTAGAATATTTCTTTTATTAATTTGTTGCCATCTGACTCACAGTTTAAGGTAAATTTTATTAGATCACCAACCTTTATTCACTTCAGTCTTCACTTTTCATGGGGTTTTAGTCCTATGTTTGTGGAGAATGAGACTGAAAACTCCAAACTCTCTTACAAAAATAATAAAACACGTTGTTGACTTTTACAAGATCTCATAACCCCCACAATCTATCACTCTTTCTCTACTCATTACAGCAACAAGGGGCTACAAAATCATCATATTGAGATTGAATAATAGTAACAAAACCGAGGAGGTAGAGAGAGAGAGAGATGTGAATTTCATGGACTGTTCCCTCCTCTAGTTTTCGTTTTTGCAGCAGCAGATAGATCACAAACTGAGCCACGGACACTGCTTCCTTGCATGTTCTGGTACTAACTTAGCTACCATCTCCACAGGCACACCTTTAAGCTCTGTTTGCACACAACACATTAAGAAAACATGAGTGTTAATCCACTTATCTTTTTGACCAAAAAAATCACTTATTTTTATGATACTTTCGAACTATAAAACCAAGAAAAATGTGAGCACAAGGACGAATGGGAAGTAAAGTACCATGAGGCTTGAAGTTGAAAAGTGGTGGAAAGAAACGTCCATTGGGCAACCGTGCATTAGGATCTCTAAGCTCGTCAAAGAACGGGTGGACCAATGCATCAAGCTAATTTGGCAAGATCACAAAATTTCAACAAAATAAGATAAAGAAGACTAGAGATCTTGCAGAATGAAGGCAAATGAGAGAAGTTGTAAATACTCACAGCACTGCAACGGAGATTAGGAGAGTATTGAAGAAGCCTCGAGACCAAATCAACAGCTTCTGGAGGCATCCTCTTGTGGAAAATCTGGAATTTTTAAATGACGGAAATGTTTCAGATAACAACTACTCAAACAAGACACTGAACTTGTTAAACTTGATGGTTGCTTACCTTATGCCATGGATGAGCTTTAATCTGAGGGAACTTGAACTCAGTGTAGTTAGGGTTCATGCATTTGATCTCTTCCCTTGTTGGTGTTCCCAAAACCTTTATAATCTCAACAAGTTGATCAACGCCACTCTCACCAGGGAACAATGGCTGGCCATGAACCAAAACAACAGATTTAAAACAGAACAAAGATGTTGTGATTATGACATTTGACAAAAAAAGAAAGAGTGTTATTACCTGTCCGAGAAGAAGCTCAGCAAGAACACATCCTCCAGACCAAACATCAATGGCTGTAGTATACTCTGTAGCTCCAAAAATAAGCTCAGGAGCTCTGTAATACCTCGAGCATATATATGAAATGTTTGGCTCTCCTTTCACCTGTTTCAAGAAGTCAAACATTGATCAATAAAGGTTGAGTTTCTCTGCTTTAAAGAGAGAGTATCATCAACAAAACTCACCAATACTTTAGCACTTCCAAAATCACATAGCTTCACTTGATGAGTGTGTGGATTTACCAACAAGTTTTGAGGCTTTATGTCACGATGACACACGCCTATACATCGATGAATGTAACACAAGGACCTGAAAATCTGCCAAACACATAAAAAGAGTTAATGAAATCTCCATTTTTGCAAATAAGACAATCCAGAAAAAAACTAATATGTCTAACCTGATAGGTGTAGAGTTTGACGTAAACGATAGGCATACGTTGGTTAAGTTTGTTGTAGTGTTTGATAACACGGTGAACTGTTTCCGGAACGTATTCAAGGACTAAGTTGAGGTAAAGCTCGTCTTTCTCGGTTGTTGAGAAGAAGCAGTGTTTTAAAGACACTACGTTTGGATGGTCAAGTAGCCTCATTGTTTGTAGCTCACGGTTCTTGTATCTACGGTCTTGCAACACTTTCTTTATCGCTACAGTTTCTCCAGTCTCTAAACATTTCGCCTGGAAAAACAAAGCAAAAATGAGGATCATGTCATTGGCAAAGACACATATAGTTTGATAGAGAAAGAAGAAGAAATTCAAAACTCACTTGGAACACAACGCCAAAGGAGCCATGTCCAACAACACGCTCTGCCATGTAACTGATTGTCTGCAATGTAAAATTCACTTACCTTATGAAAAAAAAAATACAATTGAATTTACTAATAAAGGATAAAGAAGTGTCACAAAACCTGCTTTGGTTGGCCATTTCTTCCACCTATTGTGGTCACTATTATATGACCAGTCTCTGTGACATTTCCCTTTACGATTGTAGCTTCCATTTCCTAGTAATCATCAAATCAAGTCAGATAACAAATAACTGAAGCCACAAAAATGAAACAGTTTCAACAGAATAAGAGTCATACTTTATCATCTTGAATTTTCATGTGATTCATCTCTTCAGGTAACCTATCAACATCAGTAGTAACGTTTCCAGTAGTGTCTCTAACCGCGGCACTAGGCTCTACGCCCACCGTGGCCATTCCGTGAACAGAAGAATTTATAAAAAATAATTATTCTTCCTTTGTCACTCTTCAAATCTTGATCAGATCACAACCCTGCAGCAAAAAGTGATGGGTTTAGCAGATGATCCATAAAACCATATCTGTATAATTACAGTTGCTTGTTCATTAATTTAACAGAACAAATCTCAAGACTACTTAACAGAACAAAGCTCAACATGTTCAGTAAAAAATAGTATCAACATGCAAAGTATAGAATTTTAACAGAGATACTGAAAACAAACATCACCTAAACAAGCAAGAGCTAACAAAAGAAAAGTATAGAACCCTAATAAGAACAAAAAAAAAAATCATGGGAAAAGGGATAGACCCATAAACATACCAAAATATCAATTCAAAACATCTTCTCTTAGCTTAACATTTTACCAAAAAAAAAACCATCTTGTCCAAATAGTAAAATATCAAAGGGGATCTATGAAGCTAAAAAAACAAGAACTTTTTAGGTGGGAAAACATTAAAAGATTCAGAAGAATTGTACATGAGAAACATAAAAGAGAAGGATTTAGAAAAACCTACCAAAGAAAGTTTGAGATGGAAGAAAAATCAAGAAGATATGATTAGATCCATAGGAAGGAAGGAGAGAAAGATGGTTTTTGATGATGAATGTCTCTCTCTCTCTCTCTTTCTTTTCTCTTCTGTCTCTCTTCCTTTTTTTGATTATGGTCTGATGAGTAATAATAGTTTGTAAGAATAAAAATGCTTGAGCTCTGTGGCTGTGCTTTTTGATGATGAGAGAGGCATATGCTATAATGCGCTGGTGACAGTCATATCTTAAAAATGAAATCCAGAAAATATATTCACAATTAGATAGTCTTTGGAGTTAGTAAAGTGAAAGAAAAGTACATTGGGTTTGGTTTTTCCTCTTTTTTAGTTTTGACCATTCAAACTTTGTTTACCCCACTCTGTATTTATATTAACCTTCATGATCCATCTTCTCTGTTTTTTTCCTATTTTTTTAATTTAATTTGTGATTGGTTGGACTGACATACTAACAAAAATAATCTCAAAATAATGCTGGATTTAGTGTACAGAATCATGATTTAATTTAGTTAATTGATTTTGCATTCAATCAGTGACACATAGAAAAGTTAGTTTTATTATATAAAATCTCAAAATAATGGTGGATTTAGTGTACAGAATCATGATTTGTTTTAGTTCATTCATTTGCATTCAATTAGTGGCACATTGAAAAACTAGTTTTATTATAGTATAAAATTTTATATTTGGCCTTTTAGTAGCTCTATTCTGAGAACCATTTGTTTCCTAACTTTTTTAAAAAAGGAGTCAAACTCATAATGTCAAATCTGAAATGGAGTAAACTGCACTGATTCATTTATGATTTTTTTTTTTAATTTCTTTGACAGACGTCCAATAACTATTTCCTGAGTGTCATACAATTGTCTGCTATAAAATTAAAAACTAAAGAGTATCTAGATCAACAACCAACAGCCATAAATATAATGACATTTCCAGCCAAGTGTATAAGTTTTTGTTATTGTTTTCTTAAATTTAATATAAAAAAAAAAAACCGAATAATATAATAGGAGTAATTAAAAAGGATGGCGACATTTTGAAAATTTGGACAAAGCTGGGATGTGTGGGGTCGGTGAGAAAGCGACAAAGTAGGGGCAACTCTGGTATTTAACGGATATATCAGAATATTCCAAACAGTCTACTACAGTACAGGCTGACCTGGGGCCTCGTGTTGGAGAGTCAAGAAAAATTTGGGAACTTTCAAATTTATCAGCGACCACCTTTGTAGAATATCCAGTGTCTTAATTGGGCTTCAACATGAGCCTAATAAAACTAGAGTATTAAGTACTGGGCCGAAAAAGCTATATATTGTATCTATTAACAATACTAATTAATGTTAAAAGGTTGTGAATCTCTTCTAAATTAAATGTTATAGGGTTAATTGGTTGGTGCTAAAGTTTTAGTTTTTTTTTTTTACATAGAAAATTAGCTCTGAAATTTTTGTTTTGATTTTATTTTTTTATGTGGAACTATTTTCAAAGCACTTAATACTCCCTCCGTTCCACAATATAGGATGTTTTATCCAAAGCACAAGAATTAAGAAACTTAAATTTTCAAAAGATAACATCATCGTATAAATTTAAAATAAATGAACCAATCATAAATAATAAACTAAAATATTATTGGTCAACCGGTTTTCTATAAAGTTAAAGTACCTTAAAAATATCAAAACATCTTATATTTTGAAACATCAATTTTCTCTAGAACATCTTATATTATGGAACGGAGGGAGTAGAAACTGTAGAAAAATTGCTTTGGAAGGCTAACATATTTCTTTTTCTAATTTTTTTCTCTAGCTTTATTTTTTAAAACTAAAACATGATTGCTTTATAAAATGCTTTAGAAAGAAAACTGACTGTCTAAAAAGTAGTCACAACCACTTCCAATCAATCCCTATGTTTTTCTATTAAAAAAATAGATTTAAAAAATACCTAAGATGTTTTCCTGTAAAAAATAGATTTAAAAAAAAACAATTCGATGATATTTTGTTTTAATGAATAACTTTATCATGCACTGACATGTGACAACCACTGCCAATAAACCCCTATGTTTTTCTATTAAAAAAATAAATTTTAAAAAATACCTAAGATGTCTTTCTGTAAAAAAAACAGATTTAAAAAAAAAACACTTCGATGGTATATTGTTTTAATGAATAACTTTATCATGCACTGACATGTGATAAACATAAAGATATTGTGAACCTTATGTGTCTTTGTTTCTATAGAAATTACAGATTTATAGAGGTTAGTCCATAAAATTAGGTGGACTATAAATTTTTATTAAATTACTTACTAAAATATTAGAAACGATGTCTATGTTCATATACCCTAAATATACGTTTAACATACATTGATAAAAAAAAATATAATGTGTTTAGGTATTTTTATTTAACATGAAAGAGCTTAAACTTCAGTATATATCATTTATAAACAAAACTCAATATTTTTGTAGGGATTAACCCATAAATTTTAAGATAAATTCAAACATACGATAGTTTCTTTTAATTAGATTTAAATATATTAAATTTTATTTATAATTTCAAATAACTTACAAAATAATAATAAAATATATATATATATATATATATATGTATATATGTATATATTTAAATTAGTATTGGCATATTAAACTGAATTATAATTTGAAATTGTAAAACCAATATAAATTTTTAATAGCATCTAAACATAAATATAAACACATGTAATCTATGTTGTACACATATTACAAAGATTTCGTTGAAAAAGTAAATAAGTTGAAAGTATAGTCCCAGGCCTCCCGGCGGGTCTCAAACCCGCAACCTTCGGCTCATAAGACCAACGCTCTAACCAACTGAGCTATGGGACCAATTTGTGAAAGTTTTATTTTTGATGAAACAGTTTAAGGACGATTATTAATTAGAACATGTTGGTTCTAAAGAAGACTACACATACAAACACCCACACTTTCTACTGTCTTAGATTTTTATACAAAAAGAGACTCATCTCTTGGAGACTACCACTAACATCAACATAGACATTGATACAACTATCTTAAATCCTGAATTGTCCCAGAACTTCTGTTTATCCCAAGATTCATCACTACCTTGTTGTTTCTCTAACAACATATCTCTTATCTCTTTGATCTCCATGTCCCTTCTTTCCTCTTTCTGTTCCATTCATCACACAAGAAAATAAGTTTTGGTAAAAATAAAAACCTTAGTTCCAAACAAGAAGCTCAGTAATGAACTTAGTACTTACCCTCTGCAGCTTTCTGGTCTGGCTTCTAGTTTCTTGAAGACAGAACTCTAGCTTCAGTATCTTCTTCCTCAAGTCTTGATCAGTCCTTCTCTGTTTCTCCAGCTGTGTTTTAAATCAAAAACATTAACAGATTGTTATAATCAAATCAAATAGAAAAAATAAGAAGAGGGATATTAATTCACCTGAGATTCGAGTTCCTTAGTCTTATGTTTCCAGTGACCTGACATTAACCTAATCTCATCTTTCAGTTTCTTAACCTCCACGTCACTCACTTCAACTAGTCTATTCATCCTCTCAAAATTCACTGGAGAAACATCTTCTAGAAACTTCTGGAGCAAGCAATCATTTTTACCTATTCCACCCTTTGTAATAGCCTCTGTTACCTCTAGCTCAATTCCTTTAAGTTCCTCCCTTAGCTGCTTCTCTGAGCACTCTCTCAAGCTCATCTCTCTCTGTAGATCATCAAGCTGATGACCGAGCTGAGTCACACGGTGTTCATGTTCTCTGAGAGAACGTGTTTTGTCGTCAAGTTGTTGTTTGAGCATTGAGCATTGTATCTTTGTAGATTCAGCAGAGTCAGCACTTGCTTCTGCGGTTTGATTGGTTGCATTAAGCTTTGATCTGAACTCCTCCAAGTCTTTGATTAACTGGTTCCTCAAAAAGAAAGATTACATAATTAAGAAAGTGTCACCAAGAGTAGTATATCATTTAAATACAAGCTGTGACCACACAATGCATTTCTAACTGAAACTCTATTAGTACAATAACACAGAGATGTATCATTTAAAGACAAAGTTGTATTCTTTTTCATTAAGCTTAGGATCTTAAAGATGCTATTCAAGAAATAACACAAAGACCAAAAAGTGAAACATTGTAACCAGTAACATGATATAGTCTTTATAGATACTGGTTTTAATGAGATAAACCTTTTCAGCAGCACATGCAGAAGCTTGAAGCTGAGAGTTCCTTTCTTCTAATCTCTTATGCAATTTACAGATCTCCATTTCCATGTTCTTTGCTTTTTTCTCTGCTTCCTAAATAAAACAACAAAAGAAACCCAATCATTTCTAATTGATTCCATCAATTTAATAAGAGACCCTACCACTAATAACACAAGCAAAAGGAAGAATCAATCAAAAGAAACATTGACTAATAAATTAACTAATCAAAAAGAAAGGGAAAGACTTTTTTACTTTTCTAGTTTGGGTTTCTTTAAGAAAGGATTGTTCTTGAGAAACCAAACGGCCTCTCACTTGCTTCAGCTCAGCAGCTAAAGAGACAACGTTCCTCCGGAAACTCTCTTTCTTCTCATCCAAATCTTTCAAAAGTGGATCCACCATGGTTCTGTCAGAACAAGACATCTGAATTATTCGGTTAGTTTCTCATCTAAAGTCTACACCTTTATGATTTGGTCTGTTCTTACAAATCTGAAAACTCTAGAAGACAGAAGATAGGAACAAAAAAAGGGTAAGTCTTTGTGTAGCATGTGAACATGGGTAGTTGACCATTAATACAGAAGTTAAATGAAGAAGAGTCATAAACAATTCAAAATTATATTAATAAATAGAAAGATGGTGACTTTACATGAGTCTTGTGTGGGAGAAAGTAGATGTAGTAAACTTGTAGTTTAAAAAGAAAAATTCAAGATCTTCAGATAAAATCAGATCTCTCTAGTTTTGGCATGAATTGGAGAGAGAAGGAAACAGAATAAATGAATTGGAGAGAGAGAGAGAGAGAGAGAGAAGAAGACTTTGAAGTTCAAAAATCAAAACTTTCTTAAAAATTCAAACCTTCCCTCCAGAATCCTCGGCAAACACAAACTCATGGCCATGTAATATTTTTAAAAATAAATAAAAGTTTTGAGATTTTTTTTTATTCAAGTGGAATATATAGTATGTATATTCACAAGATTTATGATCCGAATGGAATATGTGCATCAATCAATGTATAAATGACAAATGTGACAAAGAACGGTTTAAATTTGTTGTTATGGTAAGGATGTGACAATTAGTTTATTATATTGAATTAGGTAGAGACAAAGACAAAGATCGAAGCTGATCGATCTCATTGTGGCGGTATATCCATTGGATCTAAGCCTCGTGTACGACTATTATCATGGTCATGTGATCACCATAATACACATTTTGATCGAATAAGAAAAGTATTTACCATGGACACGCAAAAATTTAAATATTACCGAAACATATGGAATGTCTGGAGTTTTATGTATATATAGAAACCTTGATGCGAGCAAATTAGCCGTAAACTACAGTTTCCATTACACACAAAAACATTCTCTTGATCTTCCATGTCAGGACTCAGGGATTCACGAGTTTGAGATGTATAAACAACACTAGCAAATGGTCATGATCATGGACTCTTGGTAATGGTCTGATGCACGGACCCGGAATAGTTAGTTAATGGGCTTGGCCCATAAAAATAATAGTAGAAGATTTTATATGATTTCTATAGAATTATCTGAATTGACTAGGTTGGATTGTTAAGACTCTTTTTAAAAGTCAGTGTATGGTATTGCACTGAAGATTAGGGCTATGGAAACCCAAGGCTGACACTATCAAGGCCTGATCAAGTCACTATTAGTTATAATAAGCAGCTCATTGAAAACCTACCATAATGTTAGTAACTCTTATTCACATTTATGAAATTCACTTTTACTTCTTTGCCATCACGCTAGTATGAATCCAACCGCTGAATGTAGAAAATAAGTGAAAGCTGTCACTCATCAACAATCAAAATTTGCGGTTCTTGGAGAGACAACAAAGTCATGATGAATGTGTGAAAAAAGTTTCACAGTCAAAGTCACGAACTTTAGCTTCGTATAGAGATTGTGACCATTGGATCCAAGAACATGATAAGTCAACAATTTTGGATGTAGAGAAGCTGTTATATATTGTCTTAGTTGAAAACATCTAAAACTAAAAAGGCAAAAGCCGTCATTGGTTCGGTCGGCTGCGTCTGGGGTCCAATGGTAAGTGTTAGACAAAGAGACAAATATCAGATCATGTCCCAAAATTCTGATGGGTCGAATTTAAAGTGTCAACGTGTATACACTGAGAATGACATTTAATTTGCCGATGCTATTAGAAAATGACCACTCCTCCATAATGTTGGGCGTATTTTTGGTATTAATATATGATACTGGTTATTACAGAAGGGATCCCAAATATGGCTAGACTTCTTGAAATGCATAAGATCACCAATGACGGTGAGTTTCTCACTTTTAGTTTCTTGGCTATTTTATATTTATATTACTAAATACTCTCATTAAACATAAAAGTAAAAAACACAGCTAACCACTTAAGAGCAGTATTATAAGCATTCCATTATCTTTGTTGCTTCAACTGTTTGTGGATCCCACTGACACGTAGTGATTCGTAATTGTTTACTTTTATATTTTATTTTTATAGTCAGAAAACAAAAAAAAAATTTAAACACCCTTTTATTAGTTTCAGGATAATTTTGCTCTAAAATGAGAAGAGTCTCTTACATATTCTACAAAATCTCTTCATAAAAGATTGTTTCTCATCTTTTTATTCACTTTTTCTCATTAAATTTCTTTATTTTTAATATGTGAAATTTCTTCTTATATCTTATGAATCATTTTCTAAGAGTATTTTCAATAGAGAATTCTAACTATGCAAAATCTCAAAATACATTCCAAATGAGATATTTTTAATTGAGTTTTTGTGATTTTAGAATCTCGCAATTAAATACTAATGTTAATATACATATTGAGATTTTCATGGGTAAAATTTCCCATCAAAGATGCTGTAAAAGTGCTTCTAACAATGGGTTTAGACATAATATCTTACAATTAAAAACTTAAAAAATAGATAAAGTATAAGAGAGATAACTAGCTCTCTACACAATACTTTTCTGATTTAATAGAAATGTTTTTTCCATTTATCACCTTTCTAGTGGTTAGTTAAATTTTGTTAAATAAAAAAATATTTTTTTAAAGAATTTTTAGAGTGAGGATGTTCTAAGATTCACATATATGCATATTGTTGATTCTACAAGTTACTTAAATCTTATTGCACTGAGAAAATGTCACATTTGATGGACTTGACAAATTTCTTCACGGTTCTTTAAACTTGTTATCAAAGTTGAAAAACTACTTTTAATAGAAAAAAAATTATAGAAAGAAAGAATATCAGGTCTTGAAGCTGTAAAAATGCAAATAGTGGATTATGAGTTATTTATTCACATAATAAATATACAAACCAAAAATGAATATCTCCTTCAGTCGAGTTTTTATCTTTAAATTATGTTTGGTATTTTATTCGCGTTTTTTTTTTGTAAAATGTTATTTATTTGCGTTTGTTTAGAAGACATCAACAATATATAAGCAACCACTTTGATTTGTTTTTTGTGTTTTAACAGAGGCCAGGCTTGAATTTGCATGTATTGTAGCATCTCGGCTTAGAACATGGCTGCTAATCTCTTATCTCTATTTAGAATGTTACAGAAGCACGAGGATGATTATAAAATAAAATGCGGTGTGAGAAAGTGGTGGGTGGTCCTTGAGCCTTGAAGGAATCAAAGAAGACATCTCATACTTGACCCCAATTATTATACCACCTTCTCTCTCACGTCTCCATCCGTTCTAGTTGTCATCTCTCTTTTTCATGAGGCTTCACCTCTTCAAACGTGTCACCTCTTTAATGGCAGAAGCTCTCATCTTTTCATTGTTTACGTGATCTGTATTTTCTGCTTTTAGCCATAAACACATTATATTTTTCTAACATGTTGATCAAGCTAGCATCACTTAAAAGTGTTATCAACATTTCAACAACAACAAACATTTACTATCAGCGTCTTCCTTTTCCTAATAGGCTAATAAGTTTATTCCATAGTACTAGATAATTTTATACAACATTTTAAAAACAATTATACAACATAAATCACAGTTGATAACTGCAAAATAATTTTGAAGCGTGTATAAAGTCGCCGTTTATTCGTCCTCAAAAGCATTTTTAATTGTTAACATGCAAAGAAATGGATAAGATTCGATCTATTGCATCACGAATGATCAGTCACTTTACCATATCAAATTCTTGCTCTGTCACCTATTTAATCAGTATATGGACGTAGCGTAGCTCCGATAACTTACCAGATGATTTTCATATTTTTACTTATTAATTAATTGCCCTAATAATATTAGCATTTAGAAAATATCACATTCTTGTTTGGCCTTTGGCGGAAGATATCACATTATTACTTTAAGTCGACGAAATAGACAAAGTATGATATATGCACTCATTTTGTTTCACTAAAAGTTTTTTAAATGTAGGACACACGAAAGTCTTTTTTAACTTATTATCATTTTATATGAAATTTAAAATTTTCAAAAAAGAGAAAATAAAAAGCTGTTCGAGAAAGAAACTAAATTCAGATAAAGAGGCATGCGACGCACTTCGAACAAAAGAGTCGGACCGTAGGGTCTGCATGCACATGCCTTCTCGTAGACATTTATACTTTATTTTTCATCTTCATTTTTGGCATATAGCTTATGATATCGAAATAAATTTCCTTAACCAATATATTGAAACTTCTGCTGGGTGAATGAGCCCTTGATTTTATACTCCCGAGTTAAAAAAAAAAAGATTTCTTGAAATCCTTTTTTTTTGTAACCTTTAATATTTATTGAAATCTTTAACTTTAAGCTCAAATGAAATAACACCAAACCACTTATAACAACATCAAAAAATATGCAATATTTTGAAAATCCTTAGTAAAAAAAAAATGCAATATTTTCGTCCGATTGGTAATTAATTTTGACTTTTGTATTCAATGGCAAACAATAAATTAAAAATAATGCGACATTCGGATTATAAATTGGTAAAATAATTTTAATAAAAACAAATACTATTACACACCATATTGGCTCATGCACTCGGCTATCATCAGGCAGAGCTGAGTTTATCACACGGCTGAAACTCAGACAGAATTTTCGATAGAGCTGTCATGGCTCGGACTTGCATTTCCAACGCCTCTATGTAATCCGCCGTCTCGTCCAAAAGCTCCGGCAACGCCGTTCTCCGACAACCTGGCACCAAACCACCCAAAACTCTGACCCTACTTCCAACAACCGACAACTTCCTCCTCCTCCTCACCGTAGGCTTTGTATTCTTGTGTCGACGCATAGTACTCCTCCCAAGTCGACTCACCAAAATGGCTCGGCTCCACCGAGTCGTGCCACGAGCCGTAGCCGCTAGCACTTTGTCTGCGGTGTCTCGGACCATTGTGCTACGTCGTGATCGCTGGAGAGCGTCGTAGAGCTTCAAGGAATAGACCTTTTGCACCGACGTGGCTCTCCACCTCCGGCTAATATGGCTTGCCGGAGCCTCTGAACATCTTCTTGATCTACGAAGAGCGTCAAGTAGCTTCGGAGCGAAAACTCTTTGACCTCTTTGAGGCCTTATTAGTCTCTGTTCAGAAGACATTCACAAGAACTCTAAAACAATAATGAAAGAACGATGTTGAGTTTTTTTTTTTTTTTGGTTCTTCTTTTGTTTCAAGAAAGTTGATATTATGGAACCGTTTAGTAGAATTTGTTATTTTGATAATAATTCAGAGTAGTTGAAGGGATCTCTATATATAATAAACATCTGGGAGTGGCCATTCTTAATGCAATTATTTTCAATATTTTATTTGTTTATTCTCTTTTGTCTTTTTCGGATTAAATACCATAATTCGGATTGAATCATTCTACCTCAAATTTCACGTTGGTCAATTATGAATTTACCTGGTGAATGAAGAATCAGTTTCCTATATTAAAATCAATACATTTCTTGGTTGGAAAACATAACTAAAGCAACAAAAAGACCTTTTTTATTTGTTTGACGGCTGACAAAAATATCTATACTCAATTGTGATATTAGATATTTTTACACATAGACTAAACATGTATGCTTTTACATAACTATTTCTGATGGTAAGCGGCGTAAATTTGTATTATGGAATGGATTTATTTGATTTGTAGAATTAGTTATAAAAAGACAACATTGGCGCGCGATGGAATATATGGACGAATTTTATATAATAGTGTGGTGGAGGGCAATGATTGGTAGCAATATAACCAATAGATAGGAACACGTAGCTATAAAACAAAGTTAACATAAAGAAACAAAAACAATTTGGAAAAGAGAAGATGCATGTGATGTTGTTTTCTTTCACGACCTCCTCACCTTAGGTTTAGTATTGTGGCTATTTATCATCCACAAAAATTTCGCTCACGATTTCTCTATATTTCAATTCGATTCTTTTCAATGTTTGGTGTTTTGTGAAACATATAACATGTTCTTTATTCTTTTCTCTCTATTTTTTTTGGAAAAAAAAAGATAATAATTTGATTAGTTAGGGTGATTTTTCGAAAACCATGAAAATTAGGTTTTGGATTGCATTTTTTCAATCGGTCTATAAAGAGAAAGACGAGTTGTATATATGCCTACTAGATAACATAATTTTTTCTCTTGAAATGTATATATTTTATATCCGGCCATATGGAGAAATTACTAGTATCATGCTACAACAAAAGAGGACACACATGATACCCTCCAAACCAGCTCATCAGCCTCAACGGCTAATTAACGTGGCTAACCTTACACATATATTTTATGAACTATTTTTATCACAATAGTTTTAAAACCAAAGATAAATTAGTTATATATGAACAAACAAGAAAACATACTAAGGAAAAGAGTTATAGCTCATATGGAGAGAAAAAAATTTGGCGAGAATCACCTACCGTCATTGCATCTCATCAAAACCATCGACAAATCAATGAGGAGCCGTTTGTACATCATTCAAAGACAGGAAGACACAAATATGATGAAGGCCTAACCATTCGGTTTGGATCCAGATGAGAAATTAGTTTAGATAAATCTATGTTTCTATTATTTAAACAATTGAGACCCAAAGTCACACATGATTTACAAATAATTGGTGGATAAAATTAACATTCATTAAAAAGATAGTTTGTTTAATTTGAGCAAAACACTGGGAAAATTCAGCCGGTAGATGTATGTACGTAATTGAAGCATTAACTAAAACGAAAAAGAATTAAGAAACAAAAGTATCTAATTTAGTTAAGAAAAACAAAAGTATCTAAATTGCAATGTAAATGTGGGGGGTGTTTAGAGATAAAGGTGAGTCATGACAGAGAGATTTGCCTCCTTGCGCCAGACACGCTTTGATATCATCTTCTTAATTTTCCCTCTTTTGTTTGTTTATTATTCTCAAATCAAATGATTAGTTGTTATCCTCATTGATTATTTGTTATACTTATCCCCAAGTAAGTATTACTAATGATGACAATGATTTGTTTCAAGACAAAAATACTAGAATAGTTGATTAGTTGATGTATTTCGTATTGTATCAGACATGTTTCATTTAAATTTGAAAACAAGTGTCAACAAAAATAAGCCCATGGTAAATGTAGGTCACTGCTTTATTGGCCCAAACTCTAACCGGTCCGGTTTGGTTTTGACGACACTATAAAACAGGAACATATCTACGTCGCACGGAAGCTTCATTGGACGTGCGCTTTCGGAATCAGAATTTGAACCTTATGAAAGCTTGCGAAATCTCGATTCCAAAATACTTCTAAATATAGTATATAAAAACACGTTGCAAGTTTATGATTCCATTTTGGAATCACACTTCCAATTTTAAAAACACAATATCATATATAAGTAAATAAAGTATAAAATCATTTTTATTTTTTATAATATATAATAATATATATAGTGAAAATATATTTATGTAAATACTAATATTAATACTATAAATCATATGTATGCACTGTTTTTATTAAAGATATATCATATATATATTCAAATCTTGTGTGCCAATTATTTATTAAAGGTGAAAATAACTAATTGGTAATATTTGTTTATAAACTTAATTTATTCCTATTTTCACAGTTATAATATGCAATCATTTAAAATTATGATAAATGAATAAATACTTTATTTTAAATTAGAATCATATAAGTCTTAGTTATAAATTTAATAAAATTTTCTAATATTTATATTCATATATATATATATGTATATTTGGATATACGTTTCCTAATTCTTTTTAAAAAATCTTAATTCCACGCTTCCATACGATTCCGCTTCCATATTTCCGCTTCCGTTTCCATGTAACATATGAACATACAAAGAAGCGGCGTCGTAGCTATATTCCCATTTTTGGGATTTCCCTTTATATTCTCACTTGGGAATGGGATCTTCCTCTGTTGTTGTTGTGTTAACTATATATATGTTACAAAATATGTGATTGTTTAGGCCGATCTTATTTTAAACTCTTCTTTTTACCAAAATATGAAATGTTAAAAAGAGTCAGGGTATGGATTATGTAATAAAGATGAAACGTAACAAGACACATGTCATGGATTATGTAATATTTTCTATTAATTATTGGGTAACTTATTTGAGATTAATTTAAGGGAAACTTATGAGTTAATGAGTCATCAATCCATTTTGAACGGAATAGGAATGATAGGATATATCATATGGAACGGTAGAGAATCTGGAGATGCAAGAATCATAATAAAGAAAAAAAAATGGCCTATTACATGAAATATTTACAATGTTAACATTCCGTAAATGAAAGCCATAAAAAGGCATATAGACGTGCCCTACCGAGATTTCAAGCACACACACAGGGATCTATGCTTGACACTATATAATTTCATACGTATATAATTTATATGCATGTGTATCATAGGCACGCATATCACACATATAAGATAAAAACACGTGTGAATTTGAGTGTTAATAGTAAATAAAATAAGTGTGTGTGGTATGTTATATACAGGCCTGTCTTAGGTACATTATGGACTAAGAGCAACTCCATTGGAGGGTTCTCTATGAAGTACTAGCAATTAAAGAAAAATCAAAAATTAAAAGAAAATAGGAAAGAGAATGAGAGAGGTCCTCTTTAGAGACATTTGGAAGGAGTACTAAACTTTTCTTTCCACGTATCCACTTTTAAGTAGCTCATGTATTAATTTTTATTTTAAATTTAATTAATTAAAGAAAATTAATTAAAATAATAATATTATTTAGCTAAGGATTCCTTTTTTAGACTCTCACCGATGTGGCTGGTCTAAGCTTAGATATTTTTACCCCAAAATTATAGCTATCTTTCTGAACGTCAAATCATGAGTGTATAAGTCATCAAAAAAATGTTTAGAGATGTTCAATCTAGTGACATAAATTTTTATTCACGTCGGCATTAATTTGCAAATTCCTTCTTGTAATAATATATGTTGTATGTTAATTAACAATTGGTTCATGGGTCCTAATTACACCCGGAATATATACAAACACCGAAGTAAGTAAACGTGAATAATTATAATTAAGAAGAATCCCAGTTACATCTGGAATACAAACTCTAAAGTTATCGCAAACTTAGATAATTAAATTAAGAAAAACGTGGTATATATATTCCTTACACAAGGCAATATCTGTAATTTAAATTACTGGTAATTTAATAAACTACTGATTTCAATATGCTTAGAGAATATTTATTAGCAAACTTATTTGGTTTCAATTTATCTCACTTGAAAATATATATAGCCAAGCAATATCTGAATACACTTGAGAAAGCTTAAGCAGCAAAAGCCAAAACAAAACCAGAGGTGTTGTTCAGATATCATTCGATAATGAATGGATGGGGAGAAGAATCTCAAGGTGGCCCTAGCCAATTAACTGCAGAGGTCTGGTCTCATTTATGCTTATATTTGTTTCTACTTGGTTCTTGCCATCTCCTCATGTTTTATGATATGTTAACACTCTTGTACTCTATCTTTGTTCTTCTATATAGCGTTTTCAGATATTTTATTATTTTTCCCTGATTAGGGAGACAATAAGGATTTAGGTTTTAAGTTATTACAAGTTGTTTTCTAATCTAAGTTGTTGTTATATATCCACTCACAACAAATTTGTGCTGCTGATAGACTTTAAATTTTCTATGACAGATGGTTAGAGATCTTCTTGAGGAAGAATTTCATGTAGCGACACCACCCTGGTTTGAGGGTTTTGGAGACGAAGACACCCTGCTGGTCCAAAAGGTATATAACTTCTCTGTATGAACTGATGTTTGTAGTTTAGCCATCTTTAGTAAATTTGATTTGCCGACTTATTTCTCAATAGGATTTTGATCGAGATTACTTTTGTAAATCTTGTGTATATTAATTATTAGTGTTATAAGTCAAAAAGTTAGCTATATCTTTCAATTAATAAGATTTTTTTTATTCGCAAGTATAACCATGTTAAATCTTTGTGATGCTTACTGTTTAGTTATTAATTTAATTATGTATTATCTTCTTGCATATATTCTCATAGTAACTTAGAATCTGTGTGTATATGGTATATTTGTCTTGCATATTTATCTCTGTTATTTTTATAACACGACTGTTTAAACTTATGATTAACTCTCTTTTTTTTTTGTTCAACTTATGATTAACTCTCTGTTTTTTATTTTTTCAGGGTCCACCTTTAAACTTGACATTCACACCAACTCCAGAACATTTCAACAAGATCGCTTCAGCCATATTACAAGAAAATGGGCAAAAGCCACCTTATTCCACAGAGAATACAAAGAACTTAACGCCTCCTGAAACTCCTAAAAATACTGAAAAAACAAAGGCTATGAATTTTCAAATCTCCAAGATCACAATTGGTGAATGGACTCACACATCGGTCTACCCGGATGATCTCAAGGCCAAATTCTACTTTGCAAAGATGAGACTTATGTGGGAGATTCTCGATGAAGTTTCAAAACTGAAGAGAAAGATCGAGATTCATTGGTCTGATGTCTTGTCTTTTAAAGCAACTATTAATCCACAAGATGCAACAGGAACCCTAGAAGTCGAGGTAGTATACAATTAATATTTTCTTATATATATATATATATAGGGAAAATTCCATAT